TTTCAATACCTATTCAACACTTGGTTGAAATTTGTCGATACCAAAATAGCTTGGTATCGGACGAAAAGTATCGAGTATATAATTGTATTTAATCGCATCGTTTCATCTGTATGTATGACGTAGAGTAGATGAGGCATTGTGAACAAGAAATGTGGAATCAACGCTGAAGTTTAGTGAGAAATCAAAAAATAAAATGCATCAATTTATGACTGAGGTTTTCTCGCAGTGCACCCCAGTTATCTATTTGCCAACCCTGTTAAACGAACCGTAATGGAAAATGAATGAAAACTGCAAATAATTGAAAATGTTTTGCCAATGTTGATGCTGCTTTAGTATAGTAGATATTTCTGATTACTGTACCATAGAATATGTACATACATATATTCATACATATACTTATGTAGAAGATCGATAGGCATACCTAGAAATAGTGAGAAAAATGTGCACTTTAAAGTGGAAATGGCATGAAATCTCACTGCCACATCGCTATTTTCGCAGTAGCAGAAAGGCATTAAATAAAATAGCCAAGCGCAAAATTTCAAACAAACGGAAATTGAACATCAGAAGTCGGACTGGCTGGCATAGAATTGGGCCAGGTGGAGTGTGTCGCACTTGGTGATACCAAAACATATCACTGAATTTGTTCGCGACTGCGTCAGTTCTGTGTAATTAAGTTAATGCAACTGAATTTCGAATTTGTGACAAGCAAAAGGAGTACTAAAATATTTGTACATTTGAAACGAAGAGAAAGCAAAGGCAGGCAATAGCAACAGTGGCCTAGAGATTTCATAACACTGCACTCATATACACACACACATTAACAATATGCCATGAGTTCATAATAGGGGCACTTTTTTCCGTTTTATTTTGGCTTTGCTAATCAAAATTATCGAATTCTCTAATAAAAACAACTGCTCAACAAAGCCTTTGATTTTTTTTGTAGCGCATGCCATAAACTTCATTATCAACTATCGTTTGTGCCCCAAACGGTAAAACGCTACAAAGCTTCGACTTTGCACGTTTATTATCTGACAAAGCGTTAAAAGGTCCAACGTCAAAAACACAAACAATAAAGGAGCAACCTTCTTATTTACATACATATTTAGTTTCTAACGATTCCTTGTACAAACATATTTGCATAGTACTAATTTTCGTATGCCAGAGTTGCCACCCGGAAGTATGTATATTTCCGAACAAATTTTCAGTCTACAGTAATTTTTAATCTACATTGTTTTAACTTAGCTTGAAGCTATGTAAAATACATTTGTAATTAATGGGAATGTTAAATGCTCTTTATGCTAAGATTTTAATTCTAGATTCAGCATCTTTAATATGCCTAAGCCTCTTTTCAAAGTAAATAAATTTGTATTGTTTAATCCCACCCTATAGGAAATTGATAACTAATTGAAACTCTCACTTTTTCTCCAGCAACGAACTGATTTACTTAACGTGGCGTTGTCCTAGAAAGCGGTGAATTATCCGTCTCTGCATTTGATTTCAAATACTTTAAAATGCATTTGGCTTAAAGAACTTCAAAGTCAGTATGTTTCATTTGAATACGCTATCGTTCTGCACTTCACAGATCATATTTCATATTTCCAAGATACAAATTGTGTCTTTGAGTAAAAATGCTCACTGCAGCTGTTAACCGACTTCAAAAAAGGAGGAGGTCATTAATTTGTCAATTTTTTTTTAATGTATTTTACGGCATAACTTCGGATCACGTTAACCGATTTCTATAATTATTTCAAAGAAAGGTGGTACTTTATAGGTGTTTCGGTTTCGTTTTTTGCTTGAAAATTACTTGTTTCAAAATAGTTTTCAAATTATTTCATTTAATAAAACACTTACTTCCGTCAGGGCAATGAATGACTGAAGAGAGTCATAGCACATAAAAATCAGCTGGTAAATTTTGTTCCATAGGTAAAGTCTTTTAGACCCTGAATTAACAAAACTTTTATGATTCGGCACAACGATAAAAAATGTTGACACTCTGCCTATTTTCATTGACGACACTTAACGAATTGCAGAAATGGCGCTAAATCCAAATATTGAGTAAATTTTGGAACACCCTATATATACTATCTATATGTAAGTATATGTGAAGGCATTATAGTCGCTTGCTCGTTGGCATCGCTTTCATCTGTCCTAGTAGTCGTTGTAATTAAAATTGTTTGCAAACAATTTTGTAACACGGTAGCGTACATGCTGTTTGCCCCACGCCATTGTCATTGCCCAAAACTATGGGCCTACTATTGCAACATTCGCTTTCTCTTNCACGCCATTGTCATTGCCCAAAACTATGGGCCTACTATTGCAACATTCGCTTTCTCTTGCGATAGAATTTAATGTTGCTTTTCCCACCGGCTCTGTTTTGATCCATTTTCTGCTTATATTTACTTTTTATCAGAGACCCGTGATCAAGCAATTTTAGTGAATGCACAAATTTATTATTTTGTTGTTATTGAGAAGAAAACTCATATTTGGAAAACTTTATTCCAATTTTAAAAGACGTCGGTGTGCATTTGAAATTTTGCATGCAAATACCATGTAAAAACAAGTAAGAGCAGCGCTGTCTTCGGCTATGCCGAAGGATTCATACCTTTCATGAACATCTGCAAATTTTACTTTGACAGATTACTGCTTTTGAATACATCTGCATACATCGATAGAGGCGTTAAATACTTATATAAAAAATCGCCTCTAAACAATCAGAGGTATGGAAGATATACTTTATATGACACCAATCTAAGTGATTTTCACCGCTATGTGATCGGTATGTAAACCGGTAACACAATTTATTGGGTTTAGTTTCCTACATAAAGGAGATATATGGCAAAAACTGGTATCTTAACAATCAGTGCTATAGGAGATAAAGCTTATACAGCATAGATTTTGACGATTTTCTCAGTAGACTTTGTATTATTATTTATAAAATATCTTACGAAATTTATCGGTTTTAGCTGTTCAAATAAAGTAGTTTTACAGTAAAATCCCATATCTGAACAATCAGATTTATGGAAGATATATGTTGTAGTCATCCGATCCTTGTTATTTTCACTGTAAGTATTCTGTTAATAATGAGTGAAAATGGTGCGAAATTTCATGTTCCTAGCTGCATAAATGGAGGAGATATGATAAAAGACCTCATATCTGAACAATCAGTTGTATGGGGGCTGCAGGTTATAGTGAACCGATCTTCGTTATTTTCACTGTAAGTCTTCTGCTGATAATGAGTGAAAACAGCGCGAAATTTCATGGTCCTAGCTGCATAAATGGATGAATTATAACGAAAAATCTCATATCTGAACAATCAGTTGTATGGGAGCTATAGGTTATAGTTATCCGATCTTTTTAATTTTCACTGTAAGTTTTCTGTTGATAATTATTGAAAACAGTGCGGAATTTCCTGTTCCCAGCTATATAAATGGAGGAGTTATAACAAAAATTTTATAACTGAACAATCAGTTGTATGGGAGCTATAGGTTATAGTGAACCGATCTTTGTAATTTTCACTGTAAGCATTCTGTTGATAATGGGTGCAAGTGCTGCAAAATTTCATGTTCTTAGCTGCATAAATGGAGAAGTTATAACGAAAAATCTCATATCTGAACAATCAGTTGTATGGGAGCTATATGTTATAGTGGTCCGATTCTTCTGGTTCCGACAAATGATTAATACGTTATAAAAATACACCCACCTACCAAATTTGATCCGGATATCTCGAAAACTGAGAGACTAGATTGCATACAAACAGACAGACAGACAGACAGACGGACAGACGGACAGACGGGCATGGCTAAATCAACTCAGCTCGACGTTCTGATCATATAAGTATACATTTTCATGGGTCTATCTCTTTTTGTTCTGGTACTTACAAACATCGGACCAAAGTTATAATACCATTTCATGCTCATGAAAGGTATAAAAATCAGGTCTCACTAAAAATGTTATAACCAGGACCGAATAAAATAAGCACGAAAAAATCCATTTTAAGCGCTTAGATAAGCGCTAGAACATTGGTCAATATGCTTGCAAATATGCTCGCAAAACAACAAAAAATAAATACAGTTCAATGTTTTTTTTTTGTTCAGTTTACTTCAAGGATTGAAAAATTACAATGGACACCAAGTGTTGCTCGATATTCTCAAATAATGGATATCTGCGTTGGTTGTTTTAATTTTTTTAAATATTCTTTATTCGGTATTCAATAACACCAATGCTTCCCGTAGAGACAATCCATTGGTTTTAAGTTTTTATATTCAAGCAGAAATGAAATCGAATTTACGAGTTAATAACAACTAAATCTGTTTTTTTTTTGTTATTATTTTTAAACATTTATTTAGTTCGAAGAATACAAAAAGCCTAATAAATGGTCAAGAAAAATTTATAGACCCCAATTTCTTAAGCTGCGGTGCGCTTAAGCTTAAGCGCGCTTCCACTCCGCTGCACCTGGGTTCAAACCTTGGGCAAAGCAACATCGCAAAAAATATAGAAAAACGGTTTTTTCTTAACAGCGGTCGTCCCTCGGCAGGCAATGGCAAACCTCCGAGTGTATTTCTGCCATGAGGCCCATCCGCTTTGTGTGACAACACCAAGGCGCACGCCACAGCTCGGAGGAGAAGCTCGGCCAAACACTAACCCTACATATGTGTAAGCGCCAATCTATTATTATTATTAATTTCTTAAGAAGTACGAAGTTGTTAAGAAATTGGCTACGTTTTCTACTATGGTTTGCTAAAATTTATTTGTAAAGAGTACAAGACACGCTTGTTTTAAACAGAAATCCACATATGCCCGTTCCATTATTTCGTAAGGAAAAATTTGATACAGCAGGCTGTAAAATATCAGATATTAAAAAACGCAATTTCAAACAAAACAATTTTAAAAAACATTCTGGGCAGTGTGGTCAATAGTGTCTACAGTCGATAGTTCTCTAGTATAAAATATGTATAATTAGTATGTAAGTATGTAGGTATCTGATCAAAGTAATAGTTTACCTTTTTACCGTCTAGTTCGTGTGTACCTTGTGTTAGAACCTTGTCAACGCTGGCTGGATCACTGAATGTTATGAAGCCGAAACCTCTGAAAGTGGAAGAAAAAACTACAATTAAATTTAATAGATTTTTTAAATTTATAACATACAACTAGATCTCAAAATTTAAGTGCAATAAATACATGACAAAAGTTTTGAAGTACCAAATTTTTTTCAATCTATCTATGTAGATTAGACCACTTCAAAAACGTAAATAAAAAATACTGTAATGCCCCCGCAATCTGACCCAGATTTTAGTATTTGACATAGTAATGATCTTCCATAAATCTCCCCTCTCTGCAATAATTCTAAGAGGTTGCGCATCGAGTGTTTATTTTTTCCATAGGAATAACACGTAATATTTAAAATGAGTTATTCTCTTTTGAGGTCAATATATTTTTCTAGGATCGATCACAACGTCGGAAACTTTAAGAATACATTGATTACATGCAATTTAAGTGTTATGTAGGCTCATATTCTTTAAATTCCCGTTGTCTTGTTTATCGCTTGGTACGGGGTATTTAGATTTTTGACAGTAATTTCCAACAGTTTTCAATGGTAGGTAATTAAATGAGGAAGGATTACTATCTCCCAGCTATGTTAACATTTTTATTCCCGCTTTGTCAAAATATTTGCCCGTGTACACGATGACTCGAGAAAAAATTAGATACGTTCCCGAAATTTGGTAGGTAAGTTGCCCTATTATCCAAAGCAGGTTGTGATTGAAAGGGGACAAAATCGTGCAATAACCATGCCCACCTAAGTACCAGGTTGAACGAGCTTTGCGCGCAGTGCAATATATACATATATGGATACAAAAAATTGGATTTCGATATCTATCGATAAGTAAATTCCTTACTCTAAAAGTTAGGTGGAAACCCTATTCCGAAATACGCTGAAATAAATAGTACATATCTTGAGTGTATACCTTAAAATCCATAACATTATCTATATACAAAATTTCATCAAAATCGTTGTAGCTGTTTCCGAGAACCCTATGGATATATACAACATACATATATACAAGAATTGCTCGTTTGATGCAATATAAGATAATAATAACAGTATTTTTGGAATTTTGGGGAATTTTTAGACAATGGGCGTGGCACTGCCCACTTACGCCTACATGAGTGTATCTCGGTAACCGGTTTATCAATTTCTACCAAACTCGACACATTTATCAACCTTGGCGCCGGAAAGCGATATTTTTTACTTGCGCCGGTTATATAAAGTTCGGTTTCGCCCGAAATTATTCATTTTTATTTGTTTTTTATTTAGTTTATTTGAAGGATTGAATAATTGCAAATGACAATAAAGTGTTTCTTGGTATTCTCAAATAATAGATATCTGCGCTGGTCGTTTAATTTTTTTTTTTAATATTCGTTATTCTTCATTTGAGATGAATTCTTTTTAATCTTTTCAATTGCCTTCCCGTAGAAACAAACCATTTGTTTTAAATTTTTGTATCCAAGCAGAAATGCAATTGAAGTGACGGGTTAATAAAAACCAAATCTGCTTTTATGTTACCATTTGTAAACAACGGCAAAGAAAGTAAAATTTATTGCGCCAAATTATCTTAAGTGGTACGGAATTTTTAGCAAATATGTTACGTTCCCTACTATGGCTGTAAAATATCAGATGTCAAAACCTCTTGGACACTACTTAATAACAATTTATTTCTTGACCGATTTCTTAAAAGGTCCGCACTTAGCTTTATACATTGAAATAAGCATGATTGTTAAAAAAAAAGCTTGGAAACCCTGAATAAGTAAAATAAGTAATTCCAAGCAGAGGCTTAAGCTATATGTATGTAATCGAATAGAAAATGACAACTACGGAAGTTTAATGTACAGAAATAAAATAAAAAGTATTTGAATTTGTTGGTATGTCCTTTATAGACTCCAGAACTCTTGAACCAATCGACTTCATATTCATAGTACATATTTTTACTGGGGTCTATTGTGAATAGAGAAAAAAATCCGTAGGTGGCGCCGGAGTCGAGAACTCCGATTTTATTTATATTTAGAACATGTATTACCCTTACGAATGGCAATATTTTTTTCATAAAATTATCCCGGTAGGTGTCGAGATTTCTCTAAAAAATCTGTTTACAGTCTGATTTGATCCAAAGTCAGAATACGTATAACCCTTATGAATTGAAGTAATCTTTGTAAATTATCCCGATAGATGGCTCAGGAGTCGAGATATTTCTAAAAACCGTATTCACAGTTCGACTTGATTTATATATTAGCAACGTATTTTCTCATAAAATTGGTCTGATATGTACGTGTCACTGGAATGAAATTTTGAGCGTATATTAGTAAGGCAAAATAAAACATTTTGATCCATAATTTTTTCGATAGTTGCAATTAAAATCAAGCAATACTTTATATAAGTATGTACGTATATCTAAAAACAGGATTTATAGTCAGGTATAAATATTTAAGTTTTAATGTCGCCAAGTAGGAATAGGTGTTGAAGGATGGCAAGAAGTATTCTTCTCTGTAACATTGGTTAAGTATTTATACACTTTTCATCGTATGAATACAGGATGATTCTACTTACGAATACTGTTGGTTAGTGCTCGCGAACCTAATTTATTTAAGGATCTACGTACGGTGAATGGTCATGTATGTGAAACTTATCGAGAAGCATGCCCACAGCTGCAATTGCTATAAAATTATGCACAATGGGTGACAACACTTTAAGATGCTTCGCTGTATAGTCTTCCGCCAATAATTTTGGTAGCTTGTTTCCCAGCACACCAGAAAGAATTGTGGCGTAAATTCAGGACAAAATGACTGAAGACATACTGCACCGTGAACGTATTACCACAAACGACGAAACGCTGCAATTTTCCTGGGCAATGTATAATGAGGCATTTAGCTTGAAGGCAAATATTTGGAAATGAATAAAAAGTTGGTAAGATTTATAAAAATTATGTTAGTTACAAGCTAAATAATTTAGGGAGAGATTGAAAATATGATTCGCAAGCAGGGTACGAAAATAAACTGTACAAAACAATTCCCATTTGCTCATCGATCATCATATCATTTGTGGTTTTGTACAGTTTTGTACATAGTCAGAAACAAATTGTAAGATTCACTGTCATTTTCCCCAACGAGAAACGTTTGCTTTTCGTTTGTGACAATTGTACCATAGGGTACGTTTTATATGTATGCAAACGTTTCAATTACGTGAAAAATTATTTTTTCTGTAAATTTTCATATCCAATTCAATTAAAAAACATTTTTATTTTTTTTTTCATTGCAGCCATTCGTTTTGTATTTAGTTATTGCATATATGTACATACATACATATATTTTCCCTGCACGATTCATTTCGTTTGCGGTTTCGTCTGTAACTACTAAACTACTGTAGTGTACTATCGCCAAAGTGAACTCAGCCGTTTTGTTTTGTATTGTACCGAACTGTTGAAGTAATAAACGAAACGAAATAGTAACGTACAATATAGTTTATTTTCGTACACTGTTCGCAAGTACATTTGACACTTTCTAAACTACATTCTAAAGTACATTTTAGGTTTTCTAAAGTACATTTGACTTATCCAAAGTAAACTTAGCGCTTTCTAAAACCAAAATTATACTTTCTAAATAACCCGATTTCAAAATTTTCCAACACTTTTCGTAATAATACCATGAACCGTACGTTTAGCAATGTTATGAAAGATGAAAGATTTTTCGGATTCAAAGTGGCGAATTACCAACTTTTAATGATGACAATAAGAATACTTGTTTAATATATTGTTTAAGTCGGTTTTGCTCTTTAGACACTTAAAAATGGGCGGGAACATTCCGCTTTTTACGAAATCGGTACGCGGTACCAAAAAATTGGATTTTTTCGAAATTCAAAAAATTTCAAAAAAAAATATTTCATTTTTTAAATAACCATAATAAAATAAAATTGGTAACCGGTCCTAAAAACCGGTGTTTTTCGAATTTGGTAGTCTTTACAAAAAAAGTTTAAAAAAATTACGATTACTTCTTGCATATTTCTACATTTTTACACTTGTGCGGCAGTGCTAGTAAATATTAGTAGTTTAATTAATTAAAAATATTTTTTGTCAAATTGAGAGATCCAATATTTTCTTATTTTGATTAAAATATTTTTCTGAACAGCATGTTACCATTTTTATCTTGTGTGGAATGTTTTCCACCTTATTTGCAATATTGACTGTACTATTTATCGTTTGTTTTCGGTCTGAAGATATTTTCTGAGAAATTATTAAAATTCAAATTGTTTTCACGTCACATCAAAAGATGGCTCATCCGAAAAAGAAGTGTTCCAATTAGGAAATAGAAAGCAAGTTTACAGAACTTGGGGAAGTAAAATAACTTTCGGAAAAAAGGATCCAGCATCAATATTCCGAAAAAAAAGGAGTAGCTCCGATTTTAAATTCTACGTATTTTCAATCGGCAGTCATCCCAATCAAGTCGATTTTGTATAAATTTTTTCGTCATTTTGCCCGGCTCAGGCACAGCGTGTTCAACATACTGCCGTCCAAATCATAAAAGCCGCAATTGCAATGAGATTCCTATGTAGCTAACTAATTTTTCACTTTAGACGGCAGTATACATATATTCTTATTATTATTTTTCCCATCTATATGTAACACCAGAAAAAATACGTTCCCACGACAGTCGGGTCTACGTAACCGGACCGACCCAGATTTATATGTGGCCAAGGACTGTCACTCCAGCAACACTCCCCAAAATCTCTTTGGGCAATTTGTATGTTGTTACAACAACAACAACAACAACCAGAAAAAATAAATTGTACGGGGGAGGGTTGGGACTAACAAGCGAGATTCCCCCCGGGCCCGTATTCCCTCTCTACGGCGCTGAAAATAAGAATGATGCACTGAACTGTGTAAGCGCTTGTGTGTATAGCAAAGAGTTTAGAACTGATTTATAAATTGTAAAAATGTGTCAGAACAGTGCAACAACTGTTCACTTGTAAGCTCTTACTAGTTTTGTGTTCAATAACTTTTTCTGCTGGTTTTCTCTTCTTCTCAATTTTACGCTCTATT